CCCCTTTTTTGTGGCACCACAGCCCCAGCCTCTTCCCTGCCATCTGCCCCAAGGTGCACGTTGACAAGCAAAATGCCTTCCTGTGCCATGCTCTGGCATGTAAACTGGGGGTAAATGCCAGGTGAGCAAAGGGCTTTACAACACAAAGGAGCATAGGGCCATTTGTAACTTCCAAAGCAGTTCTCCTATTCACTGCTAAAAAGTCAGTCAGAGGAAAGAGTACTTAGGTAAAACATGAACCATCTGCTACAAACAAAGCCCTATTAATGGGGGCCTTGCAGTTCAAGAACATTCTCTAAGTCACTAGACCAGTGGGAGCCCTGTATCCTCCCAAGTGCCACTTCCATCCTTTTCCCTGATCTGATCTGATGACACCCTGCTTTCTGCTCCCTGTCTGATCTGATGATACTTTGCTTTCTGCTCCCTGCCCAATCTGCTACTGTGTTGCATGTCTCCTCCCCAGTCTTCCCTGTACCACATACACAGATACTGCCTGACCCATCAGTGGAACCTGTGCCATAGGTTGGCCACCCCTGCACTAGACTATGGATAGCTCAGACCTGGCCTGGAGGGACTCTCTCTTTTGGAAATATTGGAGCTATTATGACTTGTTCCATATCATTTGCATTACAAGCTAGCTGTGGAGCCAATTGAGGGACATTGATGGGGCTTTTGTGATGTAAATGTGTGTTCTGCCAGGATCCAAAGAAAAATTACCAACTCATTTTACAGTTATCACAAATTTGTCAGATGGCAATCTGCGAATCACTACTGATGCAGCGCATCTAGAACCAGAGCTGTTCAGGTAACAGAAGTACCTCTCGTTCAAAGTATACCTCTGAACTGGAGATAAAAGGCTCTGCAAACCATAAATCTACTTCCACAGTGCAAGTTTACACAAGTGTAAACACCATACTCTTTTTCTATGGGACTGAGCCACATTTTGCTTCATAGCATTAAGAGTACATCAGTTGGTAACCCACAGACACTAGAGCTCTATGCACAAGTACAATCCCTCACACCTGCAGAGGTGAGGAAGGGCACTTTTTATCCCAAAGCTTGTCTAATATCTCTCCTACACCAGAGTTGGTGCAATAAAAGAGATCACCAAAGACAGTCCTTACTGCTCAGAAGTTCCCTAGACCATCATAGCTAAACCAACACTCCAACCTTGCTTAGACCTCTAATAACTTCAAGGAGACCTACAGCACCAGCACCTACCATTCAATGCCACCAACTGCCACTACAGCCATAAACTGAACATACGATACAAAAGCTAAAGGTTGTTGCCCCTAAAACAAGCAATGAGATAAGTGTAACACTGCATCAAGCTCAGCAGGAGGCATGAGTCCATCATGCTACAACTGAGAAGTCAAATCTGCCATGCACCAGAGCCAAGATTAACAGTTAGAGAGTGTGGTGGTAGGCATGCCTTCCTAACATCAGCATAAACAAAATCTCTTGATACAGCCTTATTTCAGAAGAGAAGCCACATGTAAACAAAGCCTAACTGCATATTTCTTGGTACCTATGGAGAGACCCAGTTTACCAGCTTCTGCTGATGCAAGTGGCACCCGGGGGCAACATGCAGGGGGTGCAGGCAGGTGCACGTGCACCCCCTACCAAAATGTGCCGCTGACATTGTTGGTGGCTCCTGCGGGCAGCTGCCACTTGTCACCCCGCCACCGACACCACTGGCGGTGTCTGCGATCCCTGCTAGTCGCTGTTGACGCTGCCGCCGGCAGCTGGTAACCAACCCTGGTTGGTGCTCGCCACCCCCTCCACTCCACCCCCAACAGTGCTGGCAGCATTTGCAGGAGCTCCCCCGCTTACCACCACCACGCTCCCACTGCCGCATTCCCGCCGCTGCTGTGCCCCCCCCAGCCGCAGAGGGCACGTCGTTCATTGTGGCACCTCACCTAACTTAAGCCTGGCTCAGGGACACAAAACAAGGGAGAAGAAAGCAAGTGATTTGGGCTTGGCAGAACAGAGGGGCATGGAGACAGTACCTCGGTTGGACCACCCACAGGACATTGTGCCTCCAGCAGACTGGAGGTGGGGAGAATAGCACTGGCTGGGGGCAGGTCCACTGCAGCCACCTACGCCAAGTGGTTCAAAAGCACTCGGGCTGCTGGCGAGGGGGTGCCCACCAGTGACAACTGCAAACTGAGGAGCAAGGCACAAGCAGAGGACCCTGGCAAGCTGCAAAACACCCGGCTTTATGGGCAGCGAAACAGCTCCATGCTGCAGGAAGAGGCCCGGTGGAGGTGACTCAGTTCAACCCAGTCAGCATGACACTGGCACGAGATGCAGCTCCGCAGCTGCTTCCCTCTTCTAGGAGTCACTGGCGGGGAGGAACCAGGGGTCTCCAGGGCACCCGCTCCGCGGCGCAGGGCTGCGCCGGGTGGGAGTCTGCCCAGGGCCCGGAGCAGGACGCTTTAGCTGAGAAGCCGCAGACGGCTCCAGCCGGGAGGACCCTCAGGGGCTGCAGGGCCCCAACAGGG